GGGTTAGTGTTAAGATTAGGATTAGGGTTAAGGTCGCCATCCGCTTCCCCATTCCTGGCTACCAATTGCGATCTAGCCCCTTTGTGCAAAAATTCTGATTAATGGTACAGCCTGGAAATTTTCGTGTCCACGAAGATGATATCACAGGGTGGATTATTGGTGGACTAAGAGTCGGGCTGCAATGACTCCTTAACGTGATCTCTGGCACTCTTACACACATGTGATTCATACTGCCACACCTTCTTTGTGAAATCTCGGTGCTTGTGTTTGGAAGGTCAGGTTGTGTATGTGACACGAGCCGACGAAGTCACTAGCTATATCAGCCACTGCATTCATCCTCCGCACCAGACAGCTGACCAGCTCGGACAGTGGCCTAGCGATGGGAATAAAGGGTGTGGCTGACGTTACGATACAATAAGCATAAGGAACGAAAGGTAAAAACCCCAGAACCGAACCTTGAAGAATGCTAACAGTCACGTCCATCCTGTTCTGTTTATCTTCCGACACGGACGCGTTGTCTTCGACCAAACAGAAGTGCCTTTATGTACTTCAGAAGCTTTTCTTTGATGGCAAGTGACCTTACTTTATGCAAAAGGCATTGATTTTAAACACCATCGAAGGCTTTGCAGAAATCGGTGTACACTACGCATGCCCCGAAGACCTCTTTCTAAGCGCCGATCCAGATTTTCAGATAAGTCAGCTGATTTGGGAGGCTGGAACGTCCACAGTGAAAACCATACTGAAGATTCTGCAAGGCGGTATTTTCATCACGCTTTACGTGAACTTCCAATGTTTTGCAGGAAAAGTGAATCAAGCTTGTTGCCAACCTTATATAAGGGAACTGCGTTGGCGGTCGTCCACTGCAAAGGTAAGCTTTCTGTTCTCGTTGGCATTTCGAAAAGAGACGAAAGAGGCACTGATATCCCTGTGGATAATTTCCTACGTGCCAGCCCAGGAATCCCATCGGGTACAAGGGACTTGTCTGACGTAATTTGTCTTACTTCTTCGACAGAAAAGGCAATGATTTCGATGACGGTAGTACCTTGTGTTAATATTCTCTGGATTTTCTTGATTCAGTGCTAGTTTATCCACCGGAATAGACGCATCCGAGGTCAAAGGCTATGTTAGACGACAATCGGGATAACTCGGATATTCTGTGGGGTTCTATAGTAATAAAAATTAAGATCAGCAGAGCACGACAAAGTCAACAATAAGAGGCCTAAATTAAGGGGTGCACATACATTCGAGGTGATAAGGCGGCATTCACACGGATGACACCAACGTGTGGTGATCGGTTTAGAAACGAGCGACAACAAAGAACAATGAAAGTACAACGAGAATTGGCAAGTATGCGGAAACAAAAGTACGATCCAGAAGTTTGGTTACTATTAAACCGTTAGTAGCAAATAAGACGAGAATGTAAAATTGACATTCTCGATGTCACACCTTGGTTCATTTCAAACCCGGTTTGTCTTCGGGTGACAACACCATAAAAATCGATCGAACAACTGGAATAAAAGTACTCTTTGTCGACCATCATATAAGTTGTTTCCTATGCCATCCTTTGGATCCGCAATCTTGTCCCTGGGCTACCTTCTACTTCGGATGTACATACAAAACTTCTTGGAACATGTACTGGTTTCTGCCGTCAGTCGGTGCTTAGATAAGTTTCTAAGAGTTCGTATTCGCTTGTGGCAGTTATAATGTTGATTTTTATATTTGGCAAATAATATGCGATCTTAAAGCTGCAAGTAGCTTTGCCGAAGTCGTTTTATTCTTTTTGCTCCCTTTGTCATTTCATTGTCCCATGCAATTCGAGCGCACGGTCTGATTGTTTTCTTGGGAAAATAGGCATTAACTAAACCTTATAGAACCCCCTGAAACACTGCCAGAGATCTTCGTCACCGTCCTTGTTAACTTACCAGATTTTCTCCGAAGCAGCGCGTATTACTGCGTCCAAATCTTTCCAAATATTTCTGCACCTCTCAGATCGCGGTTGAGAAACGGTAGGACAGAGCATACACAGGCAAATGCAATATGGTCACTTAGGTCAGGTGGCGGTTTCGAGCTCACTACTCTATGACTCCCTTTTTTTACTGGAAGCAAGGTCTGGGGATTTATTTTGCTCTCCGTCTCTTAGACTTTATCCAAACTCTGTGTATAGGATTAGGTATTCTTCCAGAGAAAACTGCAATCATTTGAGTCGAATGATGTAGATAGGGGTAGATCATAGGAATTTTCCAGTCCATTGCAGAAGCGTCGAAGCCGTTCAGCAAAAATAAGTTTTCCTGCTTTTATATCAATTACAGTGAATTTCATTATTCCGCGTCGGCTGTTTGCTTGGAACCGGAAGACTGTTAGACCGCGTATAGGCTAATTGCCCAATAATCGGCTGGCCCCATTTTTGCATGAAATTATTATATCATTTTGTAACACGACGTCGGATATTTCCCGCTAACAGCAGGAATTTTTAATAGATCTGTAACTTGCAACGCCCCCCCCCCTCCAAGTTGAAACTCGTCATACCAAGGTATTCAAAATTCCAATACTAGCTACGCTGATTCTCGTTTGCCCAGTCAAATAGGTATCCGTCAACGTAACTATGTGGGGCTTTTAATTAAAAACAGTTGACAGTTCGACCGCCACATCCGACGACGTCCACCGTGGGTACCACGACAAAGTAAAGCAGGCAGAGTGACTTGCGCGTGAATTAGTTGATAGTGAGTGTAGACTTACGCAATATCTACCGCGCTCTCTCCTCCACCTGAGCCCGGTGCCAAGACAAACTCAAGAAGGCCGGAAGCCAGGCAGGACGCAGGTGGATGGCGCGGCCGAGCCTGCAACTTGGCGCTCCACTCCACACCCCCTGGTCCACACAACAGCTGGCCAGTCTTTTAAACAACAACAAAACAGCGCGACGAGTCAAAAGGAGGAGGATGACTGGGCAGCCATGCTCACGACCTCTATACATAACGGGAGCACAAACGCATTTACCGGCAGAGAACAGGCAGCGCGCACCAGACTGCGAGGGCCTTGGATTGCTAATCATGGCATAGCAGACTCTCTCAGACCTTTAGGCCCAGACGGGTGACACGTGGCTCTGTATTTGCCTGGGCCGTCACCCTTTAAGGCTGGGTAGCCAAACAGTCGGCGGCTAAGAGGCACTAACTATAAAGCACGCACGTGTTTGAGAGTGTCACAGACCGGTTAAGACGGAGCCTTGGCAGCCTGTCTCTCAGCCTACCAGTTCGTCACTTCACACAAAAACACGCAACTGGGCAGACCGCGTGGAGTGAGTTGTGACGTCAGCTGACAGCCTTCCCAGCCACAGCGACTGGTATGCCGTGATAGCCTCAGATTTGAATACCACATGCGGCCCTATTGAGAAGGAGCCGCGAAGCACACTTCACACTTCCGTAGGAGATGGCAGCCGGCGGTTGTCTACGGCAGGTTTTCCTGAATGCACTTGTATACGAATGGACCCGTGCGTGAGGGCAGTTGAAGCGGATTTGGCGGGTGAAGGTTGGTGCTACAGGCACAGGTTCTCCATTCCCCGTGCAGTGGATTCGCAAGTGACGGACCAGGCCGATGTGTGAGGTGAATGTGCGATTGCAATGAGAACAGGCATGAACCGAGTTGACATCGCTGGACATTCGGATGTTGGTGATGTTTGAAATTGATGGGGCGTCGGACGCCGTTCCTCTGGTGGGGGGGGGGTGCGTGAAGACGAGGTGGTGATGATACTAAACGCTGTAGTTGAGGCGGGGGTCGAGGCAAGACGGTGACGAGGTTGGCGGTCGGCGCGGGGTTTGTGGCAGAAACGAGAGTGGGAGAAGAGGTAGATCTTATCGGGCTGGTGGCGCATTAATTCCGACAGTGTTCAGCGAAATTGCGTCGTGCGCGAAATGCTCTTTGGCAGAGGGAGCAGGCTGGAAGTCTCGGGTGGTTGACACTGAAAAGACGAGGCACTTGCGATTTGTGAGCTTTCCGTTTGCTTTTTGTGGACGCAATCCGAATTACTTCGTAGATGGCAGCGCCTCTATTCACTTCTCTTCTCCAGGCCGGTCTGTTCTTGGCAAGGTCCTTCCAGATCTCTGGATCGATACACAGTCGCTTAAGAGAATTCTTCTATGTGTCCTTGTAGCGCAGTTTTGGTCCTCCCTGTCAGCGATAACCGGTGGCGACATCGCAGTAGAGGAGTTGTTTCGGTACTCGTGTGTCTTCCATCCTCAGTTCAGTTTTATTGAGGGAAATGTAGGTCTCCGCCTTTGAACCCCCTATTTATTTACAAGCAACTGCAAAATCTCAAAAACTGGTAAAGGTACAATAAAGGTAACAAATGATTGGAAAACCGTCAGCTCTGTACAGACAAACAAACTGTCTCAAATGTTAATGGTACGAGCAGTTGTACAGCGGTGGTTTCGAGTGCAGAGAAATAAATAATACGCCCGGGGACAAAAGTTGCATATGTGCATGTCAGTAAGCGTAGGCCATGGGTTGGAAACAATAAGAAATTCAATTTAAGATGTTACTGAAATATAGGAAGTAGTATTATAACAATGGGGTTGTCAAGATTACATATGTAGGGTGGTAATTTAGTGGACACTGCTATGCAAATTCAGCTTCCTCTTAAAGACCTCGACGGAAGCAGACATAACGACATCCACAGGCAGGGCGTTCCAAGCTTCTAGCTCTCTGTTAGAAAAGGAGAACTTTCGTGTGTCCAGCCTGGCCCCTGTCACACGTAGTTTGAATGGATGGCCTCGTAGGTTTGTGGTGGTTGCTAACTCGAAGAAGTCCCCCGGTACGAGGCTGCAGTCCTGGCCGTGTATGATACGGAAGGCTTGTATCAGGTCACCTCGTAACTGCCTGTAACTCAAGATGTAACTTACAACATGTTCGTTCTAACTTACCTGCAGTTGACTCAATACGGCGTAGATGATAAAGATGCGGTCCGTTCTAGCACTTCCGTGTCTGGATCCTGTCCTATCATCCCAGCTTTAGTATTCTGCGAAGGCAGTTGAGATGAATAGGTTTGAGTTTCTTGGCATAGTTGGAGTAGGCGGTCCAAGTCTCTGTCCGTAGACAAGTGTCGTCAAGAAAACGGCCCTGCACATCAGTTTGGCATTCAGTTGGAGGCTGTGACGATTCCACACAAAGTTCTTCAGACTGCCGTAGGCTTGGGTGGCTTTGGAGATCCGGTGGCCAACTTTATCGTCAACTCTGGGGCCGTTGGAAAGTGTGCTTCCGAGATAAATATAAATATTTATGGTTTTTATTTGGTGACCGTCGACAGTAATTCGAAGAAAAGGGCAGTGTAGCGGTTTGGGTGACGTTTGGTGCATGACCACTGTTTTATCCGTGTTCATAGTCAGACCGAAGTAGACGCACCCGTCGGTGAGGAGGTCCATGATCCTTTGCATGTCCACTTCGGTCGCGGTGCTGAGCCCGCAGTCGTCGGCGACGAGCAGATCGTGAACGGTCGTCGTGGATATCATCATCCGCGCCGGCATGCGCCTGCTGTTGAGAAGATGCCCGTCGGTTCTGTAGGCGATGCGTGCCCCGGGATGCCTATCACAGTAGGCGTCCATCAACATGGAAAAGAACATGAGAGGGAAGAGTGCAGGCGCGGGGACGCAGCCCTGCATCACTCCATTGGTCACTGCGAATGCCTCGTTGATTGCTCCGTTGCCCGTGACGCGCGCCATCATCCCATCCTGAAGCTGCCGTACCATATGCGGGAATCGTTCAGGGCAGCCGAATCTCTGCACGACTTTCCGCAGTCCCTCGCGTTTACCGTATCCATGGCCTTCGTTAAGTCCACGAAGGTGGTGTAAAGGTGGATTCGCATCTCCTGACACCTTATTTGTACCCGGAGAGCGACGAACGCCACATCAGTGGCACACGGTGTCGTCGCAAACCACAGTGGCTTTCCAGCAGGAATCCCTGCTCGAGGTGTCCGTTAAAGCGATTGAGGGAGAAGTGGATGAAGATCTTCCGGGCAATGTTGAGTAGTGAGATGCCTATGTGGTAGTCGCAGACTTGCCGGTTGCCTGTCCGCTTGTAGAGGTGATTAATGCTTACATACTTGAAGTTTCGAGGAGCTTATCCGCAGTGTCACATCTCCTGAAATAGCGTCGTGAGTTGGCCCATCAAACGATGGCCGCCGAGTTTGTAGATTTTGCATGAGATTGCGTCGGAGCCTGCTGCTTTCCCGCTGGGGAGTTGTTGCCGGGTGCGACTGGCTTCTGGAACGGGGAGCAGAGACCCTGGTCGACGTTGATTTCCATTTGGGGGAGCCGGTCGATGGCGGCGTAGGCGATTATGGAGGGCCGACTGAGAAAGTTTCTCAAGTGCTCGGCCCTGCGCTTTAGAATCTGCGACTTCTTTGTCAAAAGGGTTGATCCCTCAGAACTGAGGAGCGATGCCTTTCCTTTGGTCGGGGAACCGCAGATCACCTTGTCTGCAGCGAAGACGTTCTTTGAGTCATGGTGGTCGGCGTATGTCTGGATCTCCTCGACCTTACGGCCATCCAGTGGCCTAACATTTCTTGTAACCGTTGCCGCGCAAGGCGGCAACATTGGTAGAAGGCCGCTTTTTTGCGCATCAGTTGGACGGTAGAGGTAGGTTCCGCGCAGCCTGTTCATCTCCGCCAACAGTAACCTGTTGGCGGCGTTATCTTCGTCAAAAGGATCCTGGTGCTGAGTACGTGCGCGGCCGAGCACAGCCAGGGCGGTGGGGCGAACGGAGTCCCAAAATCGGTGCTACCGAGTCTCCGAGGAAGGGTTTTCATCCGCTGATATCAGGTAATATAGCCGCTGTGTCAGTACATTGCTTGTGGCCTCCTGCAATTAATTTGAGCCTATCCAACTTGGCAGAGAAAATAGGAGAGTTTAGAATTCTGACAGCAGTCATTTGTGTTAATGGTAGATTTGAAAGTGGGGGTCTTTGCATTGATTGGTCTGTGAGAATGCTTTCTGCCAAAAGGATCACAGTTGACATTGGAATTTATGCCTGTCACTTATTTAGAGGCGTATTTCTGTTTTTCGTTTACCCTTTCAGTTTGATATCAACAGTCTCATGTTTTCACCGTTTCAGTTCGTAATCCTGTTAAAAAACTTCGGTATGCATACCAAGTAGAGAAGATGTTCTTCGTTTCAGGTACTGCCCGGAGTCCCGGTTTCAGAAATGATTTTTAAGCGTTTTGTACAGGAATTTGTACCAGACACTGACTGCGTACCCCCTATACTACATGCCTAGAGAACGTTAAACGATTCGCCGTCTCTTATGAGAAGTTTTAATTCAGTAGATAATTCAGTAGCCAGTATATATAAGGGATATAAGCAGAGCCCTACTGATGTTTTCGCGTCAAATCTCCATTCTGATCAAGTATTCAAACCACAACTACTTATTCGATTCCAAAAAATGTTGAGCGTGGTTGACTGTGCAGAAACCTTGTTCAAACCTATTTGGTTTACCTGAAAAAGGTGGTTCTTTAGCGTACATGTTTCGTGCTTTTTTGCGAGCATGCATTCAATTTGTCGGTCGATTTCTTACCCATGGGAACTTGCGATATTTATTAAACGACTGCAATCCGAGAGTTGATAGATTTTCTTACCAACAAACTCATCTTGCTGGTTAAAACTGTTATAAATTCTCGCGGCGGGCGGGACGTTTACCTTTTACTAGAATTATGAGATCAATTAAGTGATGACCGATGAACGGCGCTTCCGTAAAGTTCTAATAGTTATGTTTTTCCACTTAAGGATAAAAATTCTGGGTTGGAATTAGCAGTTTTGGAGGCCATCGGTTGATTACGGAAGTCATAATATTCAGAAATCTCAATTCAGTTTGCTTCTTAGGTTTACAAGCTTTTAATCAGCCCTCCAATGGCGCGGAATTTATGATCACGAGGTTCGTGTGGCTTTTCGTTGTGCGTTTTCTGTGCGTGTTCTTTCACAATTCTTTCCGTAATAGTTCAAGTCCATCACCGTTTTAACGATTTTGTGTTCCTCTAATCCACAGGCGCACGCCCCGCATGCATCAAGTGCACAAATAAAGTTGTGGGCCACTTCTAGTTTGAGTCTTTAATATTGAAATAAACAACACTTTGTAAAATTTATTTTGCTCTCCCCCCTTACATTAACGATCGGAAGATACTTAATGCGTTTGCTCTCCTAACAACGTATGATAACTTCAGAAATCCAATTTCTTCAATCTTAGATTCTCTCGCATTTTTAATCTTGTCTTTCGTGTGGCAGATGACGGCGTTGATAAATCTCATGAACATAATTGATGATTCCGTCATTACTGAAGTCTATCAAATCTGTAATCTTCGCGTGTGTAATAAGCGGTTTTGATGAGCTCAGCTCACGAATGTGTCAAGATTCCACATGCTTTCAAATTCTCATCACCGTCCTTTGACCAACCGGTTTTTCAAGCAAAATATATGCACCAATCTGTGGACTTTTTGTCGTACGCACATCTTCTTTCCTACATAGGTACACAATTACTGTATCATCCACTCCTGTCTTATGCCTATTATCTTATCAACAACCTCATTCTTATAATAAGATGCGCCTTAGTGCATGCGAAATAAAAGAGCTAGACATAA